GGCATCTAGGTTGCTTCCAGGTTCTGACTCTGGGTCTTTACTGGAGGGTGGGGTGCGTCCTGGCTTATCATTACTGGAAAAGAAGTTTCTAAGCCAACTGCCTCTTTCCTTCTAGCATTTCCATAGCCCTAAAAGTTCATGGATGTCTTACTTATTGTCTCCATATCTACCACTGATAGTCACAACTTTGAAATAAACAGCATATTCTAACATTTTATTATTGAAATGCTCACAAAAGCAGAAAATATTCTACAGTGACCATCCATTAACCAAGATTCTCTGCCAACATTTAACTGCTTCTATCATCAATCCGTTTAATTTAGACACTTTTGAATTGCTTAATCTGTACCCATCCTTCACCCAACACAATTACAGTGCAATTGTAAAATAAAAATTACATACAAAATACAAGTATTAACTATACATCAGCTAAGTTTAGATAAATGTATGTGCCTGTGAACTCCAACACTCCAGAGGACTCCAGTCCCCTTTTCTGTCTCTGCTACCTCTCCCAGAGCAAACAGTTCCCTCCCAATATAGATTTGGGTGTGTGGGATAGATTTCTGTGTGTTTACTCTTTTCATTATTCATCGAGGCTAGACATAAAACTTTGCTTGTACTTTTGATTTATGTGACTGTGAGTTTGAGTAAATCTGCTAAATATTTAACTTAAAAACAAAAACAGGGTTTCTCTGTGTAGTCCTACTGTCTTGGAACTCACTTTGTACATCAGGCTGTCTTTAAACTCAAGAGATTCATCTACCTCTGTCTCCCAAGTGCTAGGATTAAAATGTGTGCTACCATGCCCAGCTTAAATATTTAACTTTTGAGAATAACTGATTTAAGTCTAATCTTGTATTAGTGGGGCCATACATTATGTAGCCCTGATTTTTAGAAGAAATGGCTAAGCAATAAGAGCACCTTTGAGATGAGGGACATACAATAAGGACAACATCTGGGCTGAGATTGTGCTTCTCATATGGGCTATGAACCTTAGTGGGTTAAAATACCTGTGACAGACCCTGTCCCCCAAGCTCCTGCTCAAGCACTACAAATTGAACCAAATGTGCAGCCATCACATACTGTGAGAAGCCACCACGCTCATTTCATCATAAGAGCATTGCTGACTCAGAATGAATGAAGCAGTTTACTTGACCACTTAGTCAAGTCATGTGTTGGCCTAGAAAATAGGAAAAATGGCTGGCATTTCCTTGTGGTACACAACAGTGATTTTTATGTTCCTAACTACATTTTCCTGTCCTTTGAACTCCTTATTGCCTGGGTTCTTTAGGGAGATACAATCTTTCCTGCTTGTATAGCATGGCTCCACTCCAAACACCTCATCCTCTGGAGACTAGAGAGCTCCTTTTTTTTTTTTTTTTTTTCTGACACGAGTTTAGTCCCATAGCAAGTTATAGTTGTTTAGCCCTATGGCAAAACTTTTAACCAACACCCAGGCATCCAATGGAGCAGGTGCGGCCTGTCAGCTAGGAAGACTGGCCTGGTGCCTTGTGTTCACCTGTAATTCCCTGATGAGCTCTACATACACCTACAGAGAACAGGGACATCTGTGATTGATTTCTCACAATGGCCCTGCCCAGCAGGGGAGCACACAACCTAATTCAGCCTAGGAGGCAGCACTCAGTAAGAGCTTTCCATTTTCCTCAGAATTGTTAGGCAGCCAGTGTTCTGTGGTTAAGTGAAGACTCAATACCCAGAATGCTCTGCCCTAAAAAGGGCAGTACTAATATTGTAGTACCTACAATGCTAGGTAGGTACATGGAACTTTCCTAAACAAAACCAGAAATTACAATCCTAGAATTGGGTCTCCCTCGCCTAGCCAGTCCTTATGGGACCTCAGCTTTTTCCAATCAGGGAGACACTTAAAATTGGACGTGTCATTTGCTCCCTGGTTGCTGTGACAAATCACTAACCAAATGCAACCCAAGGAAAGGTTTACTTCACCTTATAGTCCTCCAAGGAAGGAAGGCAGGGCAGGAGCTGGGAGCCAAGAACCTATTGTGAAAAACAGGAAGGGAGGCTGCCAACTGGCTTGCTTCCAAGCTCTCATTCTGTTCCCTTACACAGTCCAGGCCCACTTGGCTCTGCTCATAGTGGGCTGGGTTCTTTTTAGATCAATTAACAATCAAGAAAATATCCCAGCACTCAGAAGCAGGGCCAGGTGGATTCTGGCAAATATGGCCTACATAATCTCCAGGCTATTTGGGGCTACACAGTGAGACTCCATATCCAAAGAAGGGGGAAAAAAAAAAAAAAAAAAAAAAGAATCCTTACAGACATGCCCAGCAATGGCATGCAATTCTTCAGTAGAAACCAAAGATGTGAAAAAGCACAAATATCCAGATGATTTACCCCCAGGAAGCATAATTTAGAGGGGAGGATCTAAGCAGAAATGACTGACAAACTGAATGACAAAGTGTGCAGAGAGAAGCATTTAAGAAAGAAAATGCTCTGCAGTGAAGATGAGTCAAGCCCTCCTCCTAAACAGATGTGTGGTGCCCTAGCTGAGAGCCCCCAGGTGAATTGCTAATGTTTATCAACAGAAAGCTAGGCAGCCTACTACACCCCTAAAAAAGCACTAGTGGCAAGAGACCACCAAGCCACAAAACACAAATTGTATTCTATTTCCCAAAAGTTAACAAAAATATTTAACAGATATACTCAAACTCATAGTCACAACTCAAAATAGCAACCAAAGCTTTGTGTTAGCCACTTTTTTTTTTTAAATATAAAAAGAATGTATGTAGACCTGCCTCCATATCAATATGGCAAGCAAACAGCATAAAAAGTCAGAAATCAGCTGGGAGGAGGTGGCACTCGCCTTTAATCGCAGCACTCAGGAAACAGGCAAACTGTGAGTTTGAGGCCAGCCTGGTCTACAGAGTGAGTTCAAGGACAGTGAGGCTTACACAGAGAAACCCTGTCTTGGAAAACCAAAGCCAAAACCAACAAAAAAAAAAAAAAAAGAAAGAAAGAAAGAAAGCTTTCAATCTCAAGAGAACGTATTCAATTTTTTGATATGCATTTATTTGTACATGAGAAAAAAATACAATAAACATGAAGAAACCAAGTATAAGTGCCTTACTGCTAAGAGTCTGTGACCACACCACATACTGCACTGACCTCCTCCCAACCAGACTTCATCCGATGGCAGCCACTCAGTCAAAGCCAGCTCTCTGCACCTTATAACTTTTGTGGACTTATCTAGATTGTAACTGATCGTAGGGACTTCAGGGACCCAAAGATAATTATATATATGTACAATTCTGCTTTATTGCACAGGGTCACAATATGTAGTGAGTGATTATATAATGAACCACAAGATGGATGTTGATAGGCACAAACATCTATCTCTAGCCACAAATGAAATAAGATAACAACTTGCCACCATGCAAAGGCTGTGTTGACACTGGTGCATTCCTGAAGCTTCACAGCACTCGAGGATATTAAATGCAAAACTCAAGTGTCTGACAGCATCAGATAAGAAGCACAGGACACAAGAGTCCCAACCTCATGAACCACCTGTGCCACACATGTAACAGAAAGGCCACTTTAAAGCTTTGTAAGAGAGTTCTTTAATCAGGTTTGCCTGTAAAAAATATCACCACACTAGTTAGAATCTATTAACTACATTCTAGCATAAAAGTTCAGACAAAGTGGGTTACAAATTATGAATTTTTTTTGTCAAGCTTAAATGTATAGGAGAAAAAGCCATCTCTGTAATACACTGCAGTTTAGTCTTCAAGAGTTCGAAGAGTGACAAAATGCTTAAAAGTTAAAAATCATTAAAAAGTTTCTAATTGTTTTAAAATGCACATAATTGAGACAGCAAAAGCCAAAGCATTACCCTCATAACCCTCATGTGCTTCATAGGAGTGCTTTACAACTTAAGCCTCTACCACCTGCATGGAGTGTAAAGAAAACAAGCCTATTACTGACAGCCAGTGAAGCTCACGCCCAAGGCCAAGGTTGAAGCCCTGTAACTTAATCCCTGATTAACTAACTCACCTTCCCCACGCTGTGGGTGCTCATGCTGCCATCTTTCATTTGTGAGTTCAACCCCTTCAAATTTTAACAGAAGCCACAGTATTGCTCAGATTTATCTGGGTTAAATTCTTGACTTGAGTCCTCACACCTGCGTGTCTGCACTGCACTGCACAAAATCTTCCTTCAATGTTACTGCCATGCCAATGCTTGCTATGCTCCCAACCTTCAGAGCTTTAGAGTAGTTTAGAGGTAAACAGCTGTTTTGATTACCTGCCCCAGAAACTTCTAGCAAACTCCAGTTGAGGGTCTGACTTCAGTTTGTAAATTTGAGCACATACTTGTCTGCAGTTACCCAGAAAGATGAAAATCTCTAAGAAACCTTTAAAGACTGGAGATGCTAGGTATGGCAGCTCATGCCTTTAATTAATTCTAGCACTCAGAAGGCAACCAGGTAGACCTCTGTAAGTTCAAGACCAGCCTGGACTTCATGTTGAAATCCTGTCTCAAAAAACAAAACCGCTGGAGTGTAGCTAGTGGGTAGAACTTGCCTAGGATGTGCAAGGCCCCGGGTTCAATCCCTAGCACCATGGAAAGAAAGACAAGTTGACTCTCATGACAAATCCTGGGAAATAAGTGTAACTATCTAGCGGTTACAACTTTTTTAAAGATCCAGAAACAACTACTCCAGAATGCATTTATTTCAGTTAGATTGTGAGTCATGTTACATTTGCCCAAAATATAAGTATGTGATTCCTTGGCCCCGTGTGGGCCTGTAAAACCCTACCTGAGCTCCAGGTATCAGGAACTTTCAGTCAGACCAGACCCTCTTGTGCTGTTCTAGTGGCTCCTAGAATGTCAGAGTCCTGAAGAAGTCTCTTCCCAGAGAAATAGGAGAGTGAACACTGGAGAGAGCCGCCCTCCACTTCTCACCTCACCCTGCTGCACTGAGAAACCAAGAAACAACCTGGAATTGTATTAATAGAGTCTCCAAATAAAACTGTATGGAAGTGTTTATTTTCGTTTAAGTCTAGTACCAGAGAACAGATGACAAACATGACAGTTACTACTCACAAGGGACAGTGCCCCCACTGGCCAGCTACGCTGGCACCAGTAGCACAAAGAAGCCAAGCAAAAACAGTAGATACTGTGATGAACAGCTTAACAGGATGAAGCCCACGACAAACGTTACCTAGGTCAGCCTGTCTTTTGGCAATGAATTCAGCAGAGAAACACAAGGGCATTCTGGAAGGACTTAAAGTCACATTCAAAATTAAACAGACAATACTCAAAGTTAAACAGTGAAATGGAAGCTTAGCTGCTCAGTTCTATCAAATCTAAGTAAAAGGAGTTTGGATAATGACTATCTCAACAGCACTTAGTTTCAAAGCTAACTCCAACAATTCATCATGGAACTCTATAGCTAAGACGTTGACTTCTATCTGCTCTGCTCCGGTTCACCATACAACGCTTGGGGTTAAGGAAGGTGACCCTCCAAAGAGCAGAGAAGCAATAAATGAGGTGAGAACATGAGCCTGAGAAGCCCTGGGATAGGAACACATGCTCTGGCTGCTGATGCCATGGTCTCCATAAGAAGGCCTAGCAACCCCTTCCAGGAGGAAAAGGAATTCATCTTGACTGACAGCTGCCCTGAAAAGGTCATCAGATACATGGCTTGTTACCAAGTAACAGCCTAAAGCTCTTGAGTAATGATCAAACCAAAACCCTGACATCTGCCCATTGAAACCTTTTATTGTCAATGCTTTGTAATTTATTATGGCCTGGACTTACTGACACCAACCTGTATTTAAGCCAATTAGGAACAAAGCCAAATTGCATTCTCTTTAGGTCTAATTGGTCGAGAACAACATTTCATGTGGTGACCTCATCATACAATCTTTAACAAAAATTCATAAGTTGCATTGATTATTCCCCAGGAGATGAGAGAGCGATGGTAATTCAGATGGGCGCCTCTGAAAAGATTGATCAGTTTCCTGTCCCGTTCTAGCCAGATTGTCTTGAAGACCATGGGGAGAGACTGGAATGGCCCACCAATCTGAGACTGTATTCGGGCTTTGACAACATTAATCGGGAAGCTTAAGAACCCCAGCATGGCACCTAGCACACCTCCACAGATAAAGTCGTTGACCAAATGTGCACTATTCGTAGTGGCAGTAGGCAGATGCTCCTTAATTGGCCCTCGAAGGCCAAAAAAAAGGACATTACTGAATCCATTTCGGAAAAGGATAGGCACCAAGCCTCGGTAATACTCTGCAATTCCATGGCATCTCAGGGCCCGGAAGGCCTGGTAAGTGTTTGTGAATTTATCATGATGCTTATGGTCCTGAAGCAAAGTCTGAACCCTTTCCAATGGAGTGAGAATGGCTTCTGTTGTCCCAGCAAGCAATGCTGCCACACTTCTGGTGGCAAACTCGGGAGCAGTGCTCACATGTTTGAGGAGCAGGCATGATAGGTCTTCATACAGACCAAACATGAGTGCCAGCGTGGTTGTTTTCTGCATCAGTGGGGGCAGGATCCCACGATACAAGTTTCGAAACCCATCCCTCCTCAACTGGAGTATGGCATCCCTGGTTTTGATGCCATACAGCTGCTGCCGGAAGAGAATCTTCTGGACGGGGTATGTGATTGCCACGTTGTTGAATGCTGCGCAGCAGCCACAGAAGTAATGTTTGATCTGACCCACGTCTGCAATGTGAGAAGACAAATCCTGGTTTGAAGAGGTCAGCATTGGGGGCCTCTTGTCATGCGCTCCTGAGTCCATCATGGTGCTTATGATCTTTCTTCTCTAGGAAAAAAATTTTTAACCTATAGATAATCAATGACGAAGGTGTTACAAAGAGTAGAACACATAAACTTTGCCCCAATCCTTTCTCCAATTTCCAGACTCTGCATTTTCCCTTTAAAACTGGACTTGTAATACTGTATCTTCAAATTAAAAAATTACTTTTACTAATTGTACATATTAATGAGGTTCAGTGGATGTGTTGTTTCTACATATGCATATAGATACAGCAGATCAATAGCTTGTTTTCTGTGAGGTTCTGTTGTTGCTGCTGTTGTAGTTTTGAGACAGAGTCTTACTACACATAGCCCAGGCAAGGCTTCGCCTCACAATCTTCAGAGGCCCATTCTAGCATGCCTAGCTCAGATCTCTGATGTTTAGAGCTATTTCAGAGTGCTAGGAGTCCTGGAGTCTTCCCTTTTCAACAGCATATTTATGTAAGACTGACTTCCACCCAAACCACTCCTATAAGCAGACTGAATGAAGGAACAGACAGAAGACTGTTTATTTGTTAGCCAGACAGGAATGAAGTAAGGAAAATTATGAAACACATTTGCCTCATGGAAAAGAATAGGGCACAGAATGCAATAGTTATTTTTCATAAAAATGTGATATTAACAGGCCATATGTTTATCATTGCTTTGTTAACAGTAATTATTATTTAAAATTTATTTTAATCCTAAAACCTGAATGTCAACCCATATAAGCAAAAGCTTACTGAGGTTCACAATAATTCTTTAAGATTTTAGAAAGTCCCGAAACAAGGGATACCACTGGCCATTCTACCTAACAATACCCCTCCATCATCCTACTGGAACAGACTCACAGTTCTCCTGGGAACTACCAGGTTCATTTGTAATTCCAGTACTACAAAACAGAGGCAGGATGAACACTGAAAGTTAAAAGCTCAGTCTACAGCCAAGTTTCAGGCTAGCCAGGGCTTCAAGTGAGACCCTGTCTCAAAAAAACAAAACAAAAAACAAGACAAAGTCCTTCCAAGAGATATAGCAGCAGATCATTCCATTCACTCAACTCGTTGTACATTTATTTCGTACCTGTGAACTTTGGTCTTCTGCTAGGCATTGGATCCTCAGAGACAATAAAGCCACAGACTAGTCAGAATCTGCCAAGTAAGCAAGTCCATAACAGTACATTAATGTCTATGGTAACTAGGTATCTGTGGGCACAGGTTGCATATTTTGGGATATGAAGGGTTTATAAGAGAATGAAGTTAAGGTATGTACTATGCTCTATTTTTTTCATTTAAGTTTCCAAACTATAAAGTGACTTTTCTAGTTTTATATGTGAAAAAGAGCCCCAATGATCCTCATCATTCAAGACATAACTAGTAACGGGTAGGGCCAGAATACTTTGATGATGCCTGTTTGACACTAGTTTCTACCTTCCCACACATAGCAATGACTTTGGAAAGTTGTCACAGTGGGCCTGTCTGATAGATGGAGATCTGAAGATACATATACAGTTTTGCTCTCATTGAAAGAAAGCAAAGTCCTAGCTCTATGTCTGTTTCCACAAGATGCAATGTCTCCTCCCAGTCTGAGCCCCATGAGATGGCTCAGCAATAACAAAAGGTGCCTGCCACCAAACCTGATGGCCTGAGTTTGATCTCTGGAACCTACATGGTACAAGGAAGAGAACTGACTCCCACAAGCTGTCCTCAGACTTCATCATAACATGTGTTTCACCCCCATACAAGGCTAACAAAAATGAAATTTAAAAATATTTAAGAAGAAAACTAACAACACAAGTAGATAACTGGCTCTAGCTAAGCCTGTCGGTTTCCTGTAATCCCAGCACTCAGAAAGCTGAAGCAAGAGAACTGCAAGTTTGGGCTAGCTTGGCTATAAAGCAAGATTTCACCTCCCACCTGCATCCCAAGGACCACCCTTTTATTTGGGGATAAAACAGTAATTTGACTATATTTTACATTTTCGGTATTTTTAAATTGTCTTTTGTTGTTTTGTTTTTTCCAAGGTAAGGTTTCTCCTGTGCAGCCCTGCTGTATGTAGACCAGGCTGCCAGGCAAACCTTAAACTCAGAGTCCATCTTCCTCTGCTTCCTGAGTGCTAGCATTAAAAAGATGCTCCACCATGCCCTATTTTATTATTTACCTATGTACGTGTGTATGCACTTGCTGGCAGGTGCTTAGGAGGCTAGCAGAGTATGTTGGATCATCCCCTGGACCTGGAGTCACACAATTTAAACGCTTATCACCATTCCATTATTTGGTACTTCAAGTTTATAAGAATTCACCTGTGACATCCACTGAGGATGGCACTGATGAGGACAGCTTTCTGGTAACTTTGCCAGAATTTTCCATTGTTAGCCTTCTTTCTTCTGGAGCCAATATTGATAATTGCATTTCCCTAAAAAAAGAAAAAACTGGTTTAATTCCTAGACTTGTTTAAAGTTCTTGTTTTTAAAGGATATGTCCGTATTTGTTTCCTTTTTCTTGAGCACAGTAGCCAGTTGCTAATGTCCCTATTACCAACAAAGAACCAACTCTTCATTGACTGCCAACACTTACCCATATCCCTAGTCCCAAAACAAATATTTCACCAATATCTGAAGTAATTCCAAACTTCTATAGAGCATGAGACAATATCATCTTCCTTTCTTTTTATTATTTAAACTTATGTGTCTGTGTGGGTTCATGCATACAAGTGCAGGTATCTGGTGAGGTATCAGACCCCCCTAATAGTTAGTAATAGGGGCTGTGAGCCACCTGATGTGGATGCTAGGAGTCTAAGTCAGGTATATACTCTCAACCTCTGAGGCATCTCGCCAGAGGTTTGTAACTTAATGCAGTAAATATAAAATAATGTTCTATAGGCACTGGAAAGGTAGGTCTGCCAAATGCAGAGTCTATTAATGATTAGGTGTTTGATCTTCACCATCCATGCTTTTTACTGCTCCAGTTGATAGGCATGAAGCAAAAACTTTTGTTAGTTTGAGTCCAAGTCTTATTTTATAGCCTGGCCCAGCTTGGCCACAAACTCATAATCCTCCTGCCTCAGCCTTTAATTGCTGTAATTATAGGTATTACCAAGTCTGTCTAAGAACTAGCTTTTGTTTTGTTTTGAAACAGGGTCTCTCTATGTAGCTCTGGCTATATTGGAACTCTCTATGTAGACCAGACTGGCCTCAAACTCACAGAGATCTCCCTGCCTCAGCCTCCCAAGTGCTGAGATTAAAGATGTATGCAATCACAACCTGGCTTTTAAAAACTCTTAGTAGTATTATACTTGACAGTATAAGACTAGCAATTGTTGCCAGTCTTAGACTAAACAAGATTTTAAAACTTAATACCTGGCACAGAAATGCCTGATACTATATAATGTCTTTTTTGGGGGTTTGTTTGTTTGTTTGTTTTAGTTTCACAGTTAACATTAAAATCAACAAAATCCCTAAGTATGTGTGGTTGCCCAGATTTTTAATCTCATCATTCAGAGGCAGAGGCAGGTGATCTCAGTGAGTTTGAGGCCAGCCTGGTCTACAGGGTAAGATCCAGGACAGCTAGGACTGTTACAGAGAAAAACCCTGTCTCAAAAAATAAAAACAAACAAAAAAAAATTTTTTTGTTCATGTCTGGGGATGATTACCTACTATGTGTTTAATCCTCAACACTATAAAACAAACAAAGGCCATATTTACTCTTTGTTCTTAGAGAACTGGGTCTTTCTGTTACTTAACAAAATATTGCAGGCTGATCTCTGAGTTCAAGGCCAGTCTGGTCTACAAAGCAAGTTCTAGGACAGCCAGTGCTACACAGAGAAACCCTGTCACAGAACTTCCCCCCACAAAAAAAAAAAAAAAAAAAAAAAAAAAAAAAAAAAAAGTTGCTTCATTCAATCAGTTATGGCCATAATAATGGGCCTTGTTAGTAAGCAAACAGAAAACAGCCTAGGCAGTTATTTATGGACCTCTCTACAAACTACATAAGAAAATTTAAGAATATTGTTGAACATTTAGATTATTAAATAGTAAAAGTCCTATACAGAAAAGTATTTTTTGTTTATTTTTCGAGGCAGGATTTCTGTGTAGCCCTGGCTGGCCAGGAACTTGCTCTGTAGACAAGGCTGGCCTTGAACTCACAAAGATCCACCTGCCTCTGCCTCCCAAGTGCTGGGATTAAAGGGGAGCACCACCATGCCTGGCAAAGAGTAATGTTTTGAAAACTTCCCACTCTTAAAGCTCTTCCTGTAAACTATACTCCACCTATTAGGGTGTGACTAGTTGTTGAGCCTCTCCTTTAACAGCTGAGCCATCTCTGCAGCCCATGCCTAAGTTCTTAAAGCAGCAACAGAGGGAAAGACAGTGTACTGGTAGAAGTTTAGGATATGGGAGCAAGCAAGATGTCTCACCAGGTAAAAGAGTTTTCTGCCAAGGTGATAACCTGAGTTCAATGCTAGTAACTCACATTATGGAAGAAAGAATGATTTTTGGAAAATTGTTCTCGGACCTTCACAAGAGTGCAGTGGCACATTAAAGCCCTCTATTTAAAACATGGCATGTTTGCTGGGTGGTGGTGGCACATGCCTTTAATCCCAGCACTCTGGAGGCAGAGGCAGGTGTATCTTTGTGAGTTCAAGGCCAGCCTGGGCTAGAGTTGAGTCCCAGGATAGGCTCCAAAACTACACAGAGAAACCCTGTCTCAGAAAACAAAACAAAAAAGGCATGTTTGATTACTATACTCTGAGCATGACTAAACCCTGCTAAACTGGCTTCTACTTAAATTTGTAGTAATGATCATCCTTTGCAATTTACTATAACTGCACCAGTTTGCTTCAATTAGTACTTAACCTACCACAAGATAAGGAAGCAAAATTAACTTTCATCCAACAAGGATCAAACTTCTGTGATGTAAGAAACGGTGTAAATTCTAAATACTCAAGTATAATTTGCAGTCCACACGGATATGCAAAACCCAGATGTGACCTTAATACAAAGGTCTTTGTCCGAAAACAGGGCAAAGGGTGACTGTAATTCTCAAAGGATGTGAATTTTCACTAGTCAGCAGGTCTGAGTCAGCATTTAAAATCAAGGTTAGCTGGGGTTCAAGTACTAGTTACAGCACGATTTTGCCATAGCAAATACAAAGCAATATCTGTGACGAAAATCCACTATCTTAGCTCAGACCAGAATCAATTCTTGTCAGAAGTGTTATGTCGACCTAAGAAGTGCTAAGGGTGACTTTGGTTTGGACCCGATTCTAGGAATCCTTTCAAAGAAAAGGCACCGAAGGTCCATTTTGGCATGCCCACCACTCCAGGTACAACTCAGTATTCTGTTCAATAGGTAAAAACAAGCAAACAAAACACTAAGACCAGCTGGCCAGCCTGTAGGGGCCAAGACAAACGTTAGACTAAAAAGTGTAAACATGGCTGAGGCGCTGACACCTTCTCCCTAAACTTGATACCAACAATCCATACAGAATGAAACCACTGACGCCCGCCCAGCTCAGTTCGACTGTTTCCTGCCCGATGCAGCATGGTGCCTGAGAACCAGCATTCTCCAGGCTTCCCTTTGCGCGCTAGGGGAGGACCGGAAGGCGCTGGGCGGAATCGCCAGCGCCTCGGGGAAGCACGGGCCGCCGCGATCCCGCGGGGCGCAGACAAAGGCCGACTCTCGGGCCTGCGGCTCCCGCGCCCCCCGGCTGTGGGCGGGCGCCTCCCGGCCAAGCGCCGCAGCACGACAGGCCCCACGGCCGGACCCCGGGCGCGATGCGCGAGCAGGGCCTGGAGCTCGCCCGGCCGCCACGCCGCGGCCCTGCTTCCAGCCTCCCTTCTGTCTCGCCAGAAGCTGGGGCACACAGGCCTCCGTCCCACCCCACCCCACCCCACCCCACCCGGGACTCACCCACGGCCGCGGGCGCCCGCCCGCAGGACGGCCGGCGAGCGAGCCCGCGCCCGCGCAGGCGCAGGCCAGGCCTGACCCAGGCAGGGGTGGGGTGAAGCGGCGTCGGACCACGTGATCAGGACACCGCCTTGCTCCGCTTGTGGCGACCGCTGTGGCTACCCTGTGCCACCTTGGGCCCGGTGGCGACTGTAACACTTTTCATCAGGCTTTGGGGTGCCGCTAGCCCTTCGCTTTACGCTGAGGTCGTACGGTGGCCTCACTGTGCCACAAACAGCCAGCGCGTCCTCTAGCGAGAGTTCCTGGAGGTCCAAGGATGTTTATAGCTCGTGCGTGCGTGAAGGCTTGTACGCACCTGGTCCAGTGTTCTCAAAACTTGCTGGAGAGCTCTTTTGTCACCGCACTTCACAGGACACCTGAGTGTGCATACGGTCACACACAGCCGCTTTTTCCTTAGAAGCTCACACAGTTTCAGGGATCTTGGAAGGAGCACTATGCCACGAATTAATGGAGACCCAGGTTGGAATTATAGCCCAGACACTTGAGTGTCTTTGGGCAAGTTACTCATCTCTTCCGAGATTGTGTTCCTCGGTGTTGTGACATTCGTACAATGGTTCTGATTTGTACACGACCACAGGCGATAAATGTGAGAATTTGACCGAAGGGAAGAGGTCAGCTTGCTTGGAGGGAGGTTCCTTGGCAGACTCGTGGATGTGTGACGTGCATGCCACATAGGACTGGCGGTATCCTACCATTATGGATCATCTCTAGGTGGGTGTCCCCAGCCTGCCCAGAGTTTGTTTGCTTTTGAAAAAGTCAAAGGCCACGCCTCCCTGCGTCAGTAAACAGGCACATCAATCTTTTGGTGTTGCAAAGCATCCTTATCTTATACAGAGTTAACCTAAACAACCACTTGATGGAGTTTTTAAGGGAAAAATATTGCAAAACACTTCTTTTTTTTCAGTAGATTTACTTTAATGTTAGTGCGTGTGTATAGGTGTCCGGGATGGCCAGAATAGGGCTTCAGGCCCCTTGGTGCAGGAATTACAGCCTGCTGTGAATGGTCCAGTGTGGGTGCCACACTCAGGTACTCTGTAAGAGCAGTTTATGTTCTTAACTGCGACCTCTTAGCACCCAACCCTCAGCTCTTAAAACAAGTTTGTCATTTTGTGTTGGTCCACACTGGCAGTTTCCTCTGCCACAGTTATGAGTGCCTCAGTTGAACACACTTTTGAAGAGGTAAATACTTGCTGTGCGGCAAGTGCCTCTAAGGGAGTTAGTTCAGAGTCTGATGGAGTTACAAACAAAGCCTACAAATACTGAAGGCTTTTCCCCTGGAGAGGGAACCAGGAATGATGGATGCAGGGCAGGAAGTGTTTGAACTGGCCTCCGAGGATGAGTGGATGGAATGTGGGCCAGAAAGGGAAGTCACCACAGCAGCAGAGGAGCTAAGATTTTAAAGGTCAGATGGGGGCTTGCTCGTCCATGCAAACCTCCCCTGACAGATGCACAAGGAACAGGTTTTTTGGTCACAGAATAATGACAAGGCCACGTTATGGTTTAGAACAATCAGGCAACAAGTGGAGAAACAGCATTTACCTCAAACTTACATTTGCCTTGGCTTCTGTGAATTTCTATTCAAATGTATGATTCAAAAAGCAAAGAAAACAGGCAGGTATTCAGTGTGTTCATAAGCATAAATTATTAATTTCAGTTTGTAATGTAAAGGTTATTCTACTGTAGGGGGAAGATATAAGAAAGACTGAAATTAAACATACAGATGGGATGTAACTGATTCAAAAGAGTGAAAATCCCACATCACTAGAATGTCTGGAGTGGAACCAGCACGTTCCTGTTGTGCTACGGGCGGGCCCTAGTACAAGCCTCTAGTGTCAGGAGCCTCCAGGAACTTTGCTTACTGTTCTTGCAAACAGTTAAAGATCAAACACCCTCGGTTTTAAATTCAGAATTCATCATTAGGCTAGCTTTCCATTTGGGTCCTCATCCTTCACTCATCTATCTTTTGTTAGGATGCTCAAGCTGTCTGCATCCATCCCTGCAGCCTCCATATAAACCGTCAAACATGTAGTGTGTTCACATCATTTCTAGCTTGTCACTCCTCAGCTTAGGAGTCTTCCCGGTATATCCACACTCCTTACTTAGCACGCAGGATGGTCCACCATCTGGCTCCTCTGTCTTGCTGCTGATCCTATCCCTAGCTAACATTCAGGGATATCACCCTATGCAATCTCTCATGGTTTGCAAATCTTTGTGTTCTATAAACTTGTTTGGCCTTGTCACTATCAAAGTTTCTCCAAACATGATAGCTTGGCAAGGTCCTATTGCCTCCTCCACCTGTGGCTTTCTCTGATCATCTTAGGCCTCTTGTCTGCCTCTTCCCAAACATAGAGAGGTCATAAAAGTGTCTCTTTCCCACGGCCAAATCACAAGGACTGAGCTTTCTGATGCCAATGGCGAGACTATGTTTGACAAGATAAAATGGCAGTATAGAGCAGAGGGTTTTTGTCTTTTTGGTTTTTGTTTGTTTTGTTTTTCGAGGCAGGCTTTGGAGGCTGTCCTGGAACTAGCTCTTGTAGACCAGGCTGGTCTCAAACTCAAATAGATCCACCTGCCTCTGGCTCCCGAGTGCTGGGATTGAGTGCTGGGATTAAAGGCATGCACCACTACCGCCCAGCTAGAACAGAAGTTTTAAAAGAGCTTCTAAGGGGCTGGAGGCTAACTTGGTGGTAGCATGCTTGCCCAGCATACTTAGAATCTGGGTCTTTGGGAAAAGGTATGTCAGTGGATTTTTCTATCCCATTAGCTAGCTCCCAAACAAACAACACAGAAACATGCTAAGAAAGCTTGACTCCTAACTTAGGCTTGTTTCTAACTAGCTCTAAGAACTTACATTAACTCATTTCTATTAATTTACTTTCTGCCTCATGTCTTCATTACCGCATCTCTGTATTGCCCATCCTGCTCACTGTGTCTCCACCCTTTTTCTTCCAGGAGTTCTCTCTGCCCTGAAAATCCTGCCTAGCTATTGGCCCTTCAGCTTGTTATTAAACTAGTCAGAGTGACACATGTTCAGTGTACAACAAGATTATTCCACAACAGTACCTGGGGATGCTGCTGGGGGGGGGTTCTGTGTTTTAAGCACTCTACCTGCCCACCCTCCCTGCCCCCATGCTTTCTAGGAATCTGCCGTGTGCCTCCAGGGTCCATCAGTCCAATTTAACAACTAGCTTTACCCAAACTATCAGCAAAGTCTTAACTACTATGAGTAGCTCTGCCCAGATGGGGTCACCTCTGCTCATCCTCTAACAGGGCTCAGCGACCTTCCTTTTTGTTCTGCTGTATTTCCTAGTCTTCTACAATCATCAGGGCCTGTCTCTGCCACTCCCCCAGGCTCTGTCCCTACGCCTGACTCCCTCCCTGAATTGGGAAACATGTACATTTTGTTCCCTGTAGCTTTGTCATCCCTCAGTTCCAGCAGCCTCCCTGTCCCTGATATCCCTTACCTGATGTCACTACCACACACTGCAGAGCCCTCTGTGCTGGCAGCCCTTTCCCCAAAGCTGCATGTCCCAGCCTCTACAGTCTGGTTGTCCAGATGCCGGGTGTGTCAGCTCTGAGACTGCTCCTCATCTTGCTTCATTTTCAACTTTTTGTTTTTCCTTTGAGGAGCTGGAGATGGAGCCCAGGGCCTTGCACACGATAGGCACGTGTTCTCCCCCTCTGAGCACACCCAGGTCCATTGGCTCCTTTCCAAACCTGCTTCCACCAAGTATTTACCTGTATCTGTAAAGAGAGGTTATCTGAGGAGAGCCAGATTGTCTGTTCTGTTTATTCATTCATTTATTTCCATGTGGATAGGACCCCACCAAATTAAAGATTTTTTTTTCAAGTGTGTGCACATTAGACAGCTCTTAAAAAAAAGAAAAGAAAAAGAAAAAAGAAAGCTGGGATCCAGATGTGGGGCACACCTTAAATCCACGCACTTGAAGGTAGAGGCAGGCAGATCTCTGTGAGTTCGAGGCCAGCCTGGTCTACAGGGAGAGTTCCAGGACAGCCAGGGCTACACAGAGATACCCTGTCTTGAAAACAAAAATAAAAACAAACACAAAACAAGAGCTGGGCTGTAGCCCAGTTATAGACCATTGGCTTAGTATGTGCTTAGTGCTTAATCCTGGATACCATCCCCTGCCTGGAGACTCAAATTTAACTAGTCTGTAGCAATGTTAAGCTCAGAATCACCTGAACCTGGCAAGCACCACAGACATCAGTGGAATCTCCAAGCAATGTGGTCTTTGGAGGCAGGTCGGTATTTAACAGGCTGGGGTGACTGAGTGCACAGTACAAGCTAAAGGGATTGCCTGGGAGTCTAGGTCTGGAGGTGTGGCCAGACAATTCTACCTCAAAGGGATGGGGGAGCTGAGGCAGGTGATGAGAACTGAACCACAGATCAAATTCAAGCTTAGCTAAGCAAATAGTCACACACAAACGGAGCTTCCCCGTCCGAAGGCCAATGCATTCCCTGAACAGAATTTTCAGGGGAAAGCCGCTATTTGTTACCTGTCTCCGATTATTCTCAGGTAATTTGGGGAAAACAGTAGCTCCAAATTGACATCCTGACCTAGGATAGTGACTGGGGTCCTGAAGGAAATAGGAATGTGTATATGAATGAGCTCACAGCCCACAAGAGGAGGCATGAGGCATTCTTTGAGGTGGACGCTACCAAGTGCAGAGAGTAAAGACATCAGAAGAAGCTGTACCAGCTGCAGGCAGGGAAGGCTCCCTGGAAGAGGGAGTCACGAAGGGTGGCCTCAGGAAAAGCATGGCTTCAGAAGTGTTCGAGGAGGGAGGAGACAGCAAGCCGCTCCTCCCAGCTGACCTTGTTCCGCCCTTCAGCGCTGCTTTCCTCTCAGGCACACCTAAGAGCCATGCTTAGTCCCAGAAAGTTTGCTGACCTCTGAGCAGGACAGGAGACAACCTCATTTGGTATCTGAGTGACACATACTTGTGAAAGACGAACACGATTTTAACCTAGTAAGAAGAGGCTGGTCAGTACAACCACAGACATTTGCACAATACTTTGTGGTTTCCAAACAGTTACACAACGATTATTCCCTCGGATTGTCACACATTTTGTGTGTTCAGAGAAATC